TGCGTTTCTTTAAGTCTTCCTACCAACATGACCGAGTTGCGAAAACAAGGTCAAACAACTTCTAAATATATATGGTTAATATAATTGTACGGATGATATCCTGCTCTGATTATATTCGACGAAAGCTTAGCACACTTTCACGGGAATCGAAGAAGATTACCTTGGAAACAGCGTCAAAATGAATGTTCCAGTAAAGCCAATCGACAGCTGGTCAAGCAGAATCCGCTTAGAATCTTTTGGCTAAACGATTTCGCTCTAAATGCAAGTAAATTGAACAATTTTGCATCAAGAGGGTCCTCGAAACCCAACTTTTCTTCACAATTACTGTGTAGAGATGGGCAATTTTGACTGATTTTTATTCCATTTCGTAGTGATGTGATTCGTAGGCCGATCTCATGGCAAAACGTCAAGCCCATCCCAGTCAGTACATCCATTTTCGAAGGGCATTCTGATTCATACCGGAGGAGGGTAGCCCGAGGGCAGCGTCATTAGAGTAGACAGGGCCGGCCTAATGGTCGGCGTCTTCAAATGGGATCGGCCAAAGCAATTCATCATCACGCACTACCGAACGAAGCAAAAGGGAAATCAGCACTCTGTGAGATGACCTTTCATTTTGAGGGAAAGTTGGCTGGAAGGAATGTGTGAATTGGAGCGGTTGGTGTTGGAAGGTGAGACAGTGTCCTCGGCTTACCGTCCTGCGAACTTGAGGAACCTGAGTTAAGCATTCATCTTCCATCCGATAGCAATGGTAAAGCAAGAAAGCATACTTTATTTCATCAATTCTCTTGGTTTAGCATATTTTCGGGCTATTTTATAAGCAGACTTCGGTCCGTCACATGGTACAAGAAAATTTGGCACAGGTTCATTCGGCTTGCAGACAGTGACACGAGGAATCGGTCAACTATTGGATTTCCGGTGCTATTCGACTTCCTTCCAAGCAACCTGTCCTTCGAAATGGAACGTCAAGTTGCACAAGTTCATTGGGAAATTCTTTTAAGCCCAGATTTTTGCATGTTTGCAAAGTCAGCTCTTTTATTGGTTGGCTGACATGAGGATGAGTTGAAAATATTTCTTCATTTTTGCATTCTCAAGCATCTCAATTGATCATTCACCCCTTCAGGCCATGCCATGTGACTCCTCAGGGCCGCCTGAGGAGTGAGAGACAAAAAGACCACGCTAGACATGCAAGGAAGCTGGGTTTTGCAGAATCCCTGATTAATCTCTGCAGGGTTTTCGTCGGTCATCGCCGAAGCCAGAAACCAATATTCATGAAAAATGTACCAAGAACACTAAACCAACAAAGGTGTATTATTTTTGGTGAATTTAGCAAACGCACTGAGTGGTTTGCCAGCATCGAAAAAAGCTGCCAATACGCCCAATATTTCTTTTTTCACCAGAAAGAGGACTTTTCAGACCCAACCGAATCGAGGTCTTGGATTCGGCAAAAAGCAAGCTGTTGAACCTTAACGACTCGATTGGACGAATGTCACTGGTGCCGTTGTCATGACACATTTATTGTCATTCACTTCAGAGCCATCAAAGCCGTCTGATTGGACCGAGTCCAAATTGGATGTACACATGTTCACAGGGTTGTCGGTCATCACTAACGGCCCTCGGTCGACGGCTCATTTCGCCAAGGCCTCCTCCTCCCTGCTCTTCGCCTTGCCGTCGCCGTTGCCATCGCCGAGGCAACCACCTCTGTCGATTGCCCCACTCGGTGTTTCGCTTAACTACTTGTCATGTCCTGCCTGGGCTGGGGTTGCTGGCTCATTTGGCCGGCAGAAGACACTGTCGTCATCGCCAACCCTCAAGCCTATCCAACGTATCAATTACCCCAAAACCCCAACACTTCACATTGCTTCACCTCTCCCTGTTCTACTGGCTGTAATGCTGTTAGGGTGATTCACTCAGCCTCGTATCGCCCAAAAGAACATGAGGTGTCAGGCTCCGGATCGGTCCAAGCAGATGTCCGACTGCCATTTCACTCGACATCCGAGGTGCAATCAACCACCCAAACGAACGCCTAGACAACTAATGTCGTCTCCCTAATCGGCTGTTAGTTTCTACTAGTAGTATACACACACACACACACACACACACATGTACATGCACATGCACATACAGGCGTGTATCCAGCTAGACATAAAAACGTCTTCATGTCCACGAATGCGTGCGTGTGGGTATGGGTCTACGTGTGTCTTTCCGCATATGCACATATTGATGATAATTTGTCCATATTTTCAGAAGTGCACACAATTAGTGTTGGAAATGGCAAACAATTGACACATTTTGCATTAATTTGACTCAAAAGTGGCCACTAACACCTCGAAGTGGGGCGTTTGGACCTATTATGGGGCAGAGGTGGGCTGGCCGAAGAACTGCTTGAGGCAAGGGAACTTCGCGGTACAGGTTTACCTCGATTAAGGACGAGGAGCCCAGCTATTGGTCGTCTGGGATACCGAATGAAATAGGTGTGCAGTCAAATTATATCCCCTCATATTTCCTCACTTTTCCAGCGGTTTAATTGAATTTTTTATTCCAGACCAAAAGTGCATTTAAAATGTAGCTCAACTTAGTTCTACGGTGCGTACAGAGAAATTTATGTCTGCAGTAAACCTGCACTTGGCTACAGGAAACATGTGTTGAGGCCAAACGCTCTATGAAATTGAATGTAAACGTAAGTCAGTGGTGAAATTCAGATACCAGTCTTCGTATCACCTTAAACCAGTGATTCCTAAACTGTGCGCCGCGGCGCCCCGGGGAGCCGCGGCGTCTTTACAGGGGCGCCGCGAAATATTGTAAAAGCTTCATTTTGAGAAAATGTGCAGTGATTTGCAGACTCATCCATCACATTAATCAGTAAATATTAATTTAATTTTAATAAAGTTAAAAAAAATAATGAAGATACACGAGTTTTATTTATTTTTACGAATAGTCATACTTAGGGTAGGGTGACATGGAAAAATTTTAATTGAAAAAGGGCGCCGCGACTAGGATAAGTTTCGGAACTACTGCTTTAAACAATATATGGTGAATATATTTTTTATATATAACCTAATTGTAGTCTAGAAAGCCTACTTATAATGAAAAAAATGATTATTATGCCTGACATTGTGGCATGTATCCCTCATTTTTCTACACAAGGTGCATGGAACAATAGAAGAAATGACCTTCTATTTAAGTAGTATATACTCTCGAAATTGTAGAGCTAACTTAAGCTACTTGCTGCCTTGCAACCTTCGTGAGGGTGTGCAATTGAGGATTGATGGAGCGAAGTTTGCTCGACGTCATTACCCGATAGCGAGTTACGAATCGGCCGAGGCTGCAGCTCCTATCTTGCCCCCTCGGGGATTAAGCACAATCGCAAAAGTTCGTGTGAAGGACAGTAGACATACCAAACGCAGTGGCAATTTCG